CACACTCCAGGTGGTTCTGGTAAGAGGCCAAACGAGTGACGAGTAACCAAGCCCAAGACCCATGCTCTGCTCTACCTTTTCCAGTGCCTGCTGCTGGGCGTTGGCTCGGTGCTGGGGCACGGACGCCTGATGGACCCGCCGGCTCGCAATGCCATGTGGCGCTTTGGGTATCCCAATCCGGTGAACTACAACGACAACGAGCTCTTCTGTGGCGGTTATGCGGTGCAGTGGGAGCAGAACAGCGGACGCTGCGGCGTCTGCGGGGATGCCTATCACGTGAAGTCGCCGCGACCGCACGAGGCGGGCGGTGAGTTCGCCAAGGGCATCATCTCTCGGTACTACACCTCCGGCCAGGAGATCGAGGTGGAGGTGGAGCTGACAGCCAACCATTACGGACGCTTCGAGATGTTCCTCTGCCCCAACAACAATCCGCGCCAGGAGGCCACCCAGGAGTGCTTCGATCGCTATCCGCTGCTGATCTCAGGCAGTCGGGAGCACCGCTACCTCATTCCTCGCGATGCCAAGAAGAAGGACATCTTCCGCTACCGTGTGAGGCTGCCGGCCTACGTCACCTGCACCCAGTGCGTCCTCCAGTGGACATACTACACGGCCAATATGTGGGGAACCTGTGCCAATGGCACCGAAGCCGTGGGCTGTGGCAAGGCTGGTAAGTTACTAAAGACAGAGATCTCTCTTCGCTGGATCTCATATCCTTTAAATATGCTCCACTGCACAGAGACATTCAGGAATTGCGCCGATATAGCCATCATTTCGAACACTGGCGGTGGTGTTCCACCCATTTTCGTGAACAATAAATCGCCTTATCTGCTCTACTATCGGGATTATCGGGCTCCCGAGGACAACAATGTTTTCCCTTTGATTGTGCGGTGAGTACGGTGTAAGGTGTGGGAATAGCCGTTGCTTTCACAAAGAAAAACTGTAACAATTTTTTGTATTTTTTAGCATATTTTATAATTTGAAAAAATAACCTTTTCAATATCAATTTAAATATTTCCCCAATATTTGAAGCCTAGATTTATTCTGCACGTTTTTTAATAATTTCTTTGACCTCTTTTCTGCCTCTTGTACAATACTATTCATAAGCGTTTCATTACCGATTCAATTTAATATTAAGATATATGTACTTATACTTACTTATTAATTGCAATTCGTTTTTTAATCCACTTTCACTTCTGGATTTTAACCGATTCATTGCCGATTCCTCGCAGTTGCGCTTATTATTTGTAGTATATCTTCTGCCGATTTCACATAAATTTTGGTTCATTCCGTTTCTTGCTTTTTGAATATTTTTTATTTGGTTTTGTTATTTTTAGCCGCTTCTATCCCGCGGCTATATATGCTTCATTTCTGTCTCTACTCTCCTGTGCTGTCCTTAACCTCCCACCATGTTAATTCCTTAACCGTTTCGTTGCTTCAATCTCTTTGAAAATCTACAATTTGAGCACACAATTCTAACTCTTGCTTTGGTTTTTAGCAATGCCACGCGGCATGCGCGCAAACGAGCCCACGCTTAACCGCTTACTACCCGCTAAATGCTACCCGATACACAGCCTATTCGCATATACCCGATACCCGCCACCCGATATCCGAAATCCGCCTACACAGCTTACCCGATATGTACTGTACCAAAGTTATGCTCTTCACGCCACGAACCGGGCTAGAGTGGCTTCCGAAACGGGTTAAAGGTAAATGCGTGCACTCGTAAATATTAAGCAAACGGTTGTTAAAAAACGCGGTTAAGGTTTCCAACACACAGACACATACACATACACATACACATACTCATAGAAAAAACACTTGCTGTATATGAATGCTTAAATAAACATAAAACAAATATAATACTCGAATTTAAATTGTCTTCTGTTTCCGGCATAGCCGTTACACAAGTTTCGTTTGGTTCTGCTTACTGGGGCATAGTCCTGGGACTTAATACACAAGAAATTTATTTATTAACATTGATCTGACTCTCTGTTGTTTGTGGGCGTTATCAAACATAAGCTGGAATACAACATTTTGACTTTTTTTTATACCCGGTACTTGAAGAGTAAATAGGGTATATTGTATTTGAATAACGGTTGTATGTAACGCACAGAAGGAAACGTTTCCGACCCCATAAAGTATATATATTCTTGATCAGCATCAATAGACGAGTCGATAGAGCCATGTCTGTCTGTCCGTCTGTCCGTCCGTCCGTCTGTCCGTCTGTCCGTCTTGTTTGTCGGCTAGTTCTCAGAGACTATAAGAGCTAGAGCCACAAAATTTTGGCTCCGGACTGCTGTATGCTCACACTGAAACCAGTGTATTTCAAAAATGAGCGACGCCAACTACAGTTTTGAAGATACAAGAAAACTAAAAACGCCATTCCGTAGGAAATGGCCATATCTATTAGATCACCAAATTGGGATCCGATCGGATCATTATTATAGCCACAATGGAGAAATTAATTTCCAGTGGCTAAACCCACCCTGTCCCGCAGCTTTTGCTGCTCTTTTTACATTCTCTCATTCACACTCTGCTTCTGCTTCACTCGGCCCCTGCCTCTGCCCTCCCCCTGCCGATGACTCTTCCGACTTTTAACCCACCCCGTCCCACAGCTTATATTTGTTTTTTTTTTGTGAGGGCGCTGCCTCTGCCTCTACCGCAAGCAGTATGTGGGTCTAGGGAAGGGCGGAGAGCGTGTTGGTGTGAGAAGTGTTGTAGATGTAGATGACTTTGTAGCATTAAGCTACTGACAGAAGCTTGTTGCTATAGAACATACATGTGATATGTGAATACGATAGAGAAAGAGGAAGAACATGCATTTAATAGGTGAATATCGAAATTGAAAAGAAGAAGAGATTAAATTGATTTGAATTCCGACTCGGCCGAACAGCAGCACTTGGCTTTTTATTTCGAGATTTTGAATTTGAACTGGTTGCGAGGAGTTGCGGAAACAGTGGCCAAAAGCTAATTTTTAAAAGTTAAAACCAAGATTCGGTTATTAACGCTCTGTATTAGAAAAAGAGTGACTATCAAAGTTGCGTACCAGAAATTTTCATAGATGGCGCCACTTTCGAAAAATCAGTACCAATTTTATTGCTGTTTTAAATATCTCATAAATTGGAAAATACGATTAACTGATCCAATATTTTTGATGCATTTTATTTAGTAGGCTTTTTACTTTGTGTTCTGTAATGTGAACGATATCTAGTGGTTGGCGATGTCTTCTAAATCTAGATGTAGTCCTGAGTGCCGGGTATAAAAGTTGTGACGCGTAAGAAGCGTCTCACACGTCCCTTCTCGTTTTTTTAATGGAATGAAGGGAGCCACAGCTGTCTGTGAGGCTGCTGTTATGCAATCGGGGAAAAGTCAACAGCTCCTGGACATTGTAACAGTTGGGCACCTCCGCCTCCGAATTAGCCTCCGCCATACCGACCTGAGCGATAAGCTCCCCGCTTTTGCTACTGCCGCTGACATTGCTATTGTCCTTCACCTTCAGTTGTTGGGCTTTGGGGCGCGGCATATTCTTGTTGGGCACGGCCGGGCCAGTGGTGTTTTGAATTCTTTCAACGTTGCAACGTTGGGCTGGACTCGGCGGGGGAGTCCTGCGACGCGTGGCAGAAAACTCCTCTTCGCAGAAGACTTATTCAGAAGTAGAGTGGGTGCTGCTAATGAACCACTCAAATCTCAGATCAATCCACCCAAAATGTGTGGTTGACACCCTCCAAAAACTAAGCTACATTTTACATTTCCCGTCAAAGGTTTAATTGTTTTGCTTGTTTTGTTTAATGCATTGCGTTTCTTATTAACTTCTTGGCGGTTACTTCAATATATTATGGGACTTTCTGCTGAAATCTTCTGCTCTGATGCTCTCCTCTAGGCATTGCTTTGGTTCTTGGAAGTTCCCGTCAGCTTGGACTTTAGTTTCGACTTGAGCTTCCGGATCATGGGATACCTATTGTTGGACGGTGTCTTTGGCAGTGCCTCGCAAACGATGGGCTCAAATCGATTACGATCTCGCTCTCCCACGGTCATTTCTAGGTCTAGGTCCTGCATCAGCGAGGGCGAATGCAAGCATCTGTCCAGATGGTAGCCGTACCCGCAGTACATCGGCAGACAGTGTTCCAGCGAGGCAATGGGATTGGCGATTCGATGCCTCATCACGATGTCGGTGCTGGGTGTTTGGATCTTGACCGTCTGCCTGGAGCCGCGCATGTTCATGGCAGACCTGGCATTGCCGTAGCCGATGCGCAGCTCTGTACGCCTGCGTCGCTCCTCAAGCTCATTGCGTGCCTGCTGCATCTCGCTGAACATTCCGAAAGCCAAACGCAGTGCAAAAAGATTAATTTGGAGTTTTTAAAACTTAGTTTCCCCTTCTTTGGTCTGGAAAAACTACGGACATTTGCTGAAGGTATTTTCCGGACAACTGTCTGATGATGTGTGCTCTCCTCTATCGGAGAAACGAGAGTTGTTTACTTTCCAAATGAGTGACATGAATGTCTAGGATATACAGAGTTGGGTAACAAATGTTTCTCCTTCATCAAATGTTGAAGGAAGAGCAGATTAGAATAGCTTCATGGACCTTTTCCAGCCACTAATCTTCATTGATGTGAAATCAATCTTTCTTTGCAGAGATCAAAAGTGCATTGGGGCACCGGCATTCCGTACGTTGCCTGGCATCGATCACTGGTGCGAGCTCAACTGCCTTCGCTATCCGCCAAATTGTCCGGAGGAGGCCTGCCACTGTCCGTAAGTAGAGCGAGAGAGAGTGCCTGGTGATGCGCAGATAGATAATCCTTAAATTTGTTTTGCAGTCAGGATTGCGTGGCCATTGGGGATCTGGCGGGACGCGAAGGAGCCGACACCTACTGCATGGACGAATGCCTCAATTTTGAGTCGGATTGCCCGCGCGACAGATGCCGCTGCCAATAGTCGGTGAAGCCGAAGCTGTGCTGCCAATTGCCCCACCCCCAATAGACGATGTGAATGTGAAATGGAAGTGGAGAGAACGGAGAGGGAGATGTATGTCGTATAACGAGAATGAATTGAATTTGATTAAGGACAAAGGCTACCGGCGACTGGTTTCAATGGGGTTTCAATCTCTACTCCCGCTTGCGTTGATTCACGAGGAAGGGTCTGGTGAAGATCTGTAGCACTTCCCGCTGCTCGCGTAGACGTCGCGTCTTGGCCACAGGCGTCTCCCAACTGTCGGTGTAGCGGCGTGCACAGAACAGAGACGTCACCTTGCTGCTCAGCTGCTGCCAGCGTTCGATGGCACGCGATGATCCCGGTGCCCGTGAATATCTGCTTTCCCAGTCATCAAGCGACGGCAAATTCTCCTCCTCCTCCTTCTCNCACACTGAGAAAGATATTGTACTCAATCTTTGCAGAGTCATACCTAAAGCTTTTATGTAACTATATTTGATAATCGATCACTGGTGCGAGCTCAACAGCCTTCGCTTTCCGCCAAATTGTCCGGAGGAGGCCTGCCACTGTCCGTAAGTAGAGCGAGAGAGAGTGCCTGGTGATGGGCAGATAGATAATCCTTAAAATTGTTTTGCAGTCAGGATTGCGTGGCCATTGGGGATCTGGCGGGACGCGAAGGAGCCGACACCTACTGCATGGACGAATGCCTCAATTTTGAGTCGGATTGCCCGCGCGACAGATGCCGCTGCCAATAGTCGGTGAAGCCGAAGCTGTGCTGCCAATTGCCCCACCCCCAATAGACGATGTGAATGTGAAATGGAAGTGGAGAGAACGGAGAGGGAGATGTATGTCGTATAACGAGAATGAATTGAATTTGATTAAGGACAAAGGCTACCGGCGACTGGTTTCAATGGGGTTTCAATCTCTACTCCCGCTTGCGTTGATTCACGAGGAAGGGTCTGGTGAAGATCTGTAGCACTTCCCGCTGCTCGCGTAGACGTCGCGTCTTGGCCACAGGCGTCTCCCAACTGTCGGTGTAGCGGCGTGCACAGAACAGAGACGTCACCTTGCTGCTCAGCTGCTGCCAGCGTTCGATGGCACGCGATGATCCCGGTGCCCGTGAATACCTGCTTTCCCAGTCATCAAGCGACGGCAAATTCTCCTCCTCCTCCTTCTCCTGCTCTGGCAGAGCGACTGGGGCTGGAGCTGGAGCATGGGGCATCACCTCATCCGCTTCGTTGTCCTCGTGGGGCAGACCCGAGCAGCTGCCTGCCTTGACATTGCTCACAAACTCGAAAGTGAAAGAGATGCGACGCAGTCTTTGACCCCCTGCTTCCTGCGGGGATGATCTTTAAGCTGTCACTGCTGCTGGTGCTTCACCTGCTTCGGAATTCAGCTTGTTGCGCATTCTATTCAGATTTGCATTTGAGATCATGTTCCCATAGGTGAATCGCAATTTGGCACGATGGCGTCGCGCCTGTTCGTCTGATACTCGCTTGTCCGGCTCTTGGAGCTGGGCCGGAGTCTGGCTCGGCGCCGGAACCTGCGCCTGCTCATGCGCCTGGTCCTTGTTCTGTTTCTGGTTGGACATGGCAACTGCAACCAGATTTGCAACGAAAATTACACTAAAATTTGCCTCAATTATTGGGATTGGGATTGGGATTTTGACAATTTTGGGCTACACAATTGATGTACAATGACATCTGGTGCCAGGGCAATACACTTTTGGACTCACTTTAGTGCACTCTTCACATCTTTAATGGACAATATTAACTCGTACTGAACGCAATCTCAACAATGGTTTGGACACATTTTTGTCTCGTGGGTCTTAGGTCTCTACATTAAATGCTAAACAGCTTAGAAGCTTGGCAGCTTGGTAGCTTGGCGGCAACTTAGAACTGCAGCCGCTTTTTCTGTGGCAGGCTGTTGCCGCGAACGGTGGTCTCCACCAGCTTCCGCTTGACCGCCTGGCCGGGCTTCTCGTCGGCCTGAGCATTGGCCGCCACAATGGCCGAGGGTATGGGCAACTTGGGACCGACGGTGGGCGCCGGCTTGTTGCCAAAGTAGGGCATACTCAGGGCCTCGCGGCAGGAGACGCGTCGCAGCGGATTCATTGCGAAGAGGCGGCGCATTAGGTGGATGAGGTCATTGTCGGCGGCAGTGAATATGTTCTGCAACGGGGTGCCCGTGAAGTGACGGAATTGTAGGTAGTCGTGGAGCTTCCCCAGGTACGGCCACCTGGCCTCTGTAGGTGTTCCCAGGGTGGCGAAGATGCGGGTCAGCTGATCCAGATCCGAGTCGCCGGGAATGAAAGGCACGCGCAGCATGAGCTGCGGTGCTGATGGGTGCTGATGGGTGTAGATGCGATTCGGCGACCCGTATGTCTTGGCCAGGCCAAAATCGCCGATCTTGAGCACTCCGTCGCTGTTGACCAGCAGATTGTTGGGCTTCAGATCGCGATGGAGGATCCAGTGCAGGTGCAGGTACTCCAGGCCGCGCAGCGTCATGATGGCGTACGCCTTGATGTTCGCCTGCGTGAGTATGATTTTGGTGTCTTTGATGATCACCTCCAGGTCGGTGTCCATGAAGTCGAACACCAGCGACACGTTCGACAGCTGCCCGAACACATCCACCAGACCGATGATGTTCTCGTGCTGCAGCTCTTGCAGAATTTNTTTGTCTCGTGGGTCTTAGGTCTCTACATTAAATGCTAAACAGCTTAGAAGCTTGGCAGCTTGGTAGCTTGGCGGCAACTTAGAACTGCAGCCGCTTTTTCTGTGGCAGGCTGTTGCCGCGAACGGTGGTCTCCACCAGCTTCCGCTTGACCGCCTGGCCGGGCTTCTCGTCGGCCTTAGCATTGGCCGCCACAATGGCCGAGGGTAGGGGCAGCTTGGGACCGACGGTGGGCGCCGGCTTGTTGCCAAAGTAGGGCATACTCAGGGCCTCGCGGCAGGAGACGCGTCGCAGCGGATTCATTGCGAAGAGGCGGCGCATTAGGTGGATGAGGTCATTGTCGGCGGCAGTGAATATGTTCTGCAACGGGGTGCCCGTGAAGTGACGGAATTGTAGGTAGTCGTGGAGCTTCCCCAGGTACGGCCACCTGGCCTCTGTAGGTGTTCCCAGGGTGGCGAAGATGCGGGTCAGCTGATCCAGATCCGAGTCGCCGGGAATGAAAGGCACGCGCAGCATGAGCTGCGGTGCTGATGGGTGCTGATGGGTGTAGATGCGATTCGGCGACCCGTATGTCTTGGCCAGGCCAAAATCGCCGATCTTGAGCACTCCGTCGCTGTTGACCAGCAGATTGTTGGGCTTCAGATCGCGATGGAGGATCCAGTGCAGGTGCAGGTACTCCAGGCCGCGCAGCGTCATGATGGCGTACGCCTTGATGTTCGCCTGCGTGAGTATGATTTTGGTGTCTTTGATGATCACCTCCAGGTCGGTGTCCATGAAGTCGAACACCAGCGACACGTTCGACAGCTGCCCGAACACATCCACCAGACCGATGATGTTCTCGTGCTGCAGCTCTTGCAGAATTTTGATCTCACGCAAGGCAGTTCGTTTGATGCCATCGCGCGCATCTTCGCGGCTGCCACGCTTGATCTTCTCCACGGCCACAATCTGGCTGGTCACTGTGTCCCGGGCCTTGTACACAATAGCGAACTACGGTTCAACATGGAACACAACAGAGCAAAGCCATCAAATGCATTGAGAGTGAATTGAGCGTCGAACAACATAGAGGCTTTTAGCTGCAAACTACTAACCAAGGAACGCCACGAACCGGGCTAGATTGGCTTCGGAAACGGGTAAAAGGCAATTGCGTGCACTCGTAAGTATTACGAAGCAATGCTTTGTGGCAGTACCGCGCGCGTAGGGCCCCCATTCACGAACACGTCTCGCACTCTCACAGCATTAACCCTGGAGTAAGAATAAGTATGTAAATAAAGAAATAAATAGAAGAAAGAATAAATGAATTAATATAAAAAACATCCACATACTCATAGAAAAAACACCAGCTGAATGTTCGGAGCAGCAGCAAATACATAATTATTAAGAGCAGCTCGTCTTGTTTATCTCTTATACTAATATGCTATTTACGCACTCATCGCTCCCTCTTACGTACTGCATATATTGCTGTGATTCGCCCTTTTCTTGGTTCTGTCTAAAATATTGTCGATCGCCGTGAATCTCTCTGAGCAGTCCAATTATTTCATGTCCAACGCGAACCCGCTACTTTCATAATCGAGCTCTCAACTCTTGTACAGATTAACACACGGAATCGTAGTTCACGGCGTGGCCCTTTAAATTGTATATAATCGTCGAATAAGAAACGGAAATATTAAAAACTAAATACGGAGAACATTTGTCGTAAATATGGAGTCAGAGTTGCCGGAAAAGCTCGGAAGCTTCCAACACTGTATATGAATGCTAAAAAAAACATAAAACGAGAAAGGACGTTTGAGACGATTCTTATGCGTCACAACTTTTATACTCGGTACTCAGTGGTACATCTGTACCTTAGCGGTTTTTTCAAATTTTACATTTGACACTTTTTCTACATCTGTCATCTCACACCAACAGGCTCTTTTAGCTCGCCCCCTCCCCTAGAGCCACACACCACACGAATCAGATCGAAGAAAAGCTGCTGGGCAGGGTGGATTTTGGCACTGCAAATGATGAAGAAGTAAAACCGATATTATTACTAGCTTAGACTGGGGTCAAGCCACTAGACTATCTATACCAGGAGGGGATGGCAAAAATGTCGTCTACTTATGTCGTCTAAAACCGCTAAACACCCCCGCCTTCCCCCGCCCCGCTTTAAACCTTTATGTGAACATTGTCAACCTCGTATGTCGGTAGACCTAAGTTTTAAACCGGGCTTTAGCTACTTATAGTCTCTGCGATCCAGGCGCCCAAAAAGACGGACGGACGGACAGACAGACGGGGCTATATCGACTCGGCTATTGATGCTGATCAAGATACATATACCCTGTGGGTCGGAAACGTTTCCTTTTCTCCGTTACATACATCCACTTTGTGCATAAATACAATATACCCTATTTACTCTTCGAGTACCGGGTATAACAAATATAATACTCGAATTTATATTGTCTTCTGTTTCCGGCATAGCCGTTACAAAAGTTTCGATTGGTTTTGCTTACTGGGGCATAGTCCTAGGATTTAATACACAAGAAATTTATTTACTAACATTGATCTCACTCTCTGTTGTTTGTGGGCGTTATTAAACGTAAGCTGGAATGCAAAATTTTGACTTTTACTGTTGTTGTTTGCGAAACGAAGTTGATGGACTTCTCTGAACTTTAAGCAATTTTGAAAAACCACTTAAGAAGCAAAAATCATTAGTAACATCAATGAAATTGGGGAACGTCATGTGGTACGGTGAGAGCAATCCTTTGCGGAGTCGGCCTAATCTCTTGCCAATCGTAGACTTGTGTTGACCTTTTTGGAAGACTTTGTCCGTTTTCCGTTCAAAAGTGTCGTCTTTCGCTTTTTGACCTTGAGCCCAGGTCAATCGACTCAGTATCTGACTTCCTTTCGACTTCGTGAGTCAATAAGGGGGGATCCTGGGAAAAATCATAGAAGATATCAATCGACTCATCATCTGACTTATTTTCGATTTAGTGACTCATTAAGGGGGGATACTGGGAAGAATCATAGAAGATATCAATCGACTCAGCATCTGACTTCTTTTCGACTGCGTAAGTCATTAAGGGGGGATACTGGGAAAAATCATAGAAGATATCAATCGACTCAGAAACTGACTTCTTTTCGACTTCGTTTTCGTCATCGGTTTCGGACTCGGAGTCCGACATACGATTCATTATGTACTCGTTGACAATGACACGGATTCGGCCGTTAAGCGAGGTAGATGCAATTCCGATGCCATGACTTCCTCGTGGCAGAATGGGATGTATCTGAACCTGCGGTTCCGCAGGATTCTGTGGTTTCTGTGGCACCTCTGACGGGCCTCCTCCTTCCGTGCGTAACACCAAACCGATAATGCCATGGAGGTTGCAATGCATCTGTATATGCATCTTTGTCAGCATCTTCAGCTCCTGGATCAAATGTTCATTGAACAGGCTATGCTTTCTCTTCTACTCCTTCGAAGTGGCGCATGGTTCTGTGACGACTCACAATGTTGGTAGGTTATAAGTAGTTATAATTGGTAGGTTTAAGTACTTAGAACGGACACCATGAAGGTTTATTATTAAGTTTATAATTTTCCATTATTAGTTTCTAAGTTATATTATAAGGTGAAATTCGGAAGTCATAATTTAAGTTCGCGGCCCACGGTAGCCAGCAGAAGAGCAGCAGAACGAAACGAGAACGACGACGCGAGCCGCCAGCAGAGCCAGAGATCAACGCCGAGAGCCAGCAGCGGAGAAGAAGCAGAGCCAGAGATCAACGCCGAGAGCCTGCAGCAGAGAAGCATAGCGAGAGGGCAAGTGCGCCGGCAGCAGCCCGAGAGCCAACACCATAAAGCAACTATATAAGGAGGTCTCGTCGGAAAAAATTATGGACTAGTGCGAGTGAAAAATGCGAGTGAAAGGGCTCTCGCTGTAAGTGTGAGGGCAACGACAATGGAGTGTGCTGATTAATCATTTGAAGGCAATGTGAAAAAACATAATAATTGTTTCATAATTTAATTTTTAATAGTTTGTTACATAATAGTAGCCTGTGTTCTGAAAAAATAAACATTTAAAAAAAAATTGAAACAAAAATTTTGTCCGCAACCAACCTTCCGCGTCGACAATCAAACGTGCACTGAGAATTGGGTAAAGCAGCGAGTAACTCTGCCACCGACGGGGCCTCCTTATATAGTTGCTTTATGGCCAACACCAAGAAAGCCACGGGCGTGGGCAGCGACGCGCAGCCCGGACAAGGGACCGCAGCTAAGGGCTAGCGATCGCCACGCGGAGCTCGCCTCGGGGAGTAAGATTTTGGCAACCAAGCGGATAAGTTGCGATCGCTGCGGAAAAGTCCCCAACTCAGTGGGCAGTGACACACGTGGGACGAGGACACACACCCACCTAGCTCGAGAGGATCGGGTAAGCGCGGCTGCGTGATGCATCCCTTTTCCATGGCTTAGTTTGGTGCGAATAGGTAGGGACGTAGGAAATGTAATTTCGAAGCTAAGATAGGAAAAAGACAAGAACTACGAAAATAATAAAGAAACAAAACTAAACCATGTGCTCGTGTGTAACAGTGTAAATTTAACCCTTTCCCCCCTCCCAAAGTGCAAGACGGTAAGTGTGGTCGCCCACCGTTGGAGGTTCCGCTGGGCTGGTCGCAGGTCATTACCGCGCCAGACCGCGGGCTCTCGAACGGCGCGGGCCCGTCTCCGAAACGGGTGCTTCCTAGGTACTACCAGGGGCGCTCGCGTCGGAGCAGACAGGGGCGGCTACACTGCCAGAAGGCGTCTCCACTAACCACCGGATGACCGGTGTCGATCAGGTTCCCTTTCGCCCCATACGCAAACCTTTCAACACACGGCGTCTCCATTTCTGCAATCTCGGGTCCCGGCACTTTAACAATTTTCTTTGTAAGGTGGCCCTGGAGAGGCTGAGCTACCTCAGCCTTCGAAAAGACTACCTTACAGTTCAATCTGCTCGTTTATCGACTTGAGGTTGGTCACCGTCTCGTTCAACTGCTGGCAGCTCTCGTTGAAAGTCTTCACGGTCTCCTCATCCCAGGTGTGTGCCTCGAGTTCCTCGATATCGGAATTGTCGTCCATAATGGAGTTGGTGGGAACATCGTTAGTGTGGGTTCGATGCCTCATCACGATGTCGGTGCTGGGTGTTTGGATCTTGACCGTCTGCCTGGAGCCGCGCATGTTCATGGCAGACCTGGCATTGCCGTAGCCGATGCGCAGCTCTGTACGCCTGCGTCGCTCCTCAAGCTCATTGCGTGCCTGCTGCATCTCGCTGAACATTCCGAAAGCCAAACGCAGTGCATAAAGATTAATTTGGAGTTTTTAAAACTTAGTTTCCCCTTCTTTGGTCTGGAAAAACTACGGACATTTGCTGAAGGTATTTGCCGGACAACTGTCTGATGATGTGTGCTCTCCTCTATCGGAGAAACGAGAGTTGTTTACTTTCCAAATGAGTGACATGAATGTCTAGGATATACAGAGTTGGGTAACAAATGTTTCTCCTTCATCAAATGTTGAAGGAAGAGCAGATTAGAATAGCTTCATGGACCTTTTCCAGCCACTAATCTTCATTGATGTGAAATCAATCTTTCTTTGCAGAGATCAAAAGTGCATTGGGGTACCGGCATTCCGTACGTTGCCTGGCATCGATCACTGGTGCGAGCTCAACTGCCTTCGCTATCCGCCAAATTGTCCGGAGGAGGCCTGCCACTGTCCGTAAGTAGAGCGAGAGAGAGTGCCTGGTGATGCGCAGATAGATAATCCTTAAATTTGTTTTGCAGTCAGGATTGCGTGGCCATTGGGGATCTGGCGGGACGCGAAGGAGCCGACACCTACTGCATGGACGAATGCCTCAATTTTGAGTNAAAAGCTGCTGGGCAGGGTGGATTTTGGCACTGCAAATGAACTTCTTCATTTTGGCTATAATAATGATCGAATCTGACCCCAGTTCGGTGATCTGATAGATATGGTCCTCCCCTACCGTTTTTACAGCAGATGAATACAGCAGATTTTGGCGATTTGTGGGGGCGGAAGGGGGCGGGGCGAAATTTGGAAATACACTTGTAACAGTTGGAGCATACAGCCATCTGGATTCAAAATTTGGTGGCTTTAGCTACTTATAGTCTCTGAGATCCAGGCGCCCAAAAAGACGGACGGACGGACAGACAGACGGGGCTATATCGACTCGGCTATTGATGCTGATCAAGAATACATAATGGAACACCCAGCCTTTGCAAAGGGAAAGAGGCAATGTATGTAGGTGAAACACGTATTTATGTTATATGGGATAAATGAGAAGCTCATGGCCCATATTGTTTATATTATGAGCTTAAATATAACAGAAGACAAAGGCCGTATCGGCAATGTGTTCAAAGCTAACCAAAACGAATGACCCCGTATCAGGATCCTAAATTTACACAAGAAATTTATTTACTAACATTGATCTCACTCTCTGTTGTTTGTGGGCGTTATTAAACGTAAGCTGGAATGCAAAATTTTGACTTTTACTGTTGTTGTTTGCGAAACGAAGTTGATGGACTTCTCTGAACTTTAAGCAATTTTGAAAAACCACTTAAGAAGCAAAAATCATTAGTAACATCAATGAAATTGGGGAACGTCATGTGGTGCGGTGTTTGTGGTGTGGGCAATGAGCGGTGGGATCAGGGCCATGATCAGCACGAGGATCACGATAAACTGTGCGAACCCCATTAGGATTGTCTTGAACAATTCTCGAGAGCAATCCTTTGCGGAGTCGGCCTAAACTCTTGCCAATCGTAGACTTGTGTTGACCTTTTTGGAAGACTTTGTCCGTTTTCCGTTCAAAAGTGTCGTCTTTCGCTTTTTGACCTTGAGCCCAGGTCAATCGACTCAGTATCTGACTTCTTTTCGACTTCGTGAGTCATTAAGGGGGGATACTGGGAAAAATCATAGAAGATATCAACCGACTCATCATCTGACTTATTTTCGATTTCGTGACTCATTAAGGGGGGATACTGGGAAAAATCATAGAAGATATCAACCGACTCATCATCTGACTTATTTTCGATTTCGTGACTCATTAAGGGGGAATACTGGGAAAAATCATAGAAGATATCAATCGACTCAGCAACTGACTTCTTTTCGACTTCGTGTTCGTCATCGGTTTCGGACTCGGAGTCCGACATACGATTCATTATGTACTCGTTGACAATGCCACATGACACGGATTCGGCCGTTAAGCGAGGTAGATGCAATTCCGATGCCATGACCTCCTCGTGGCAGAATTGGATGTATCTGAAGCAGGGGGACGGTGAGTAGATGCTGCAGATGGAATCGCTTGGGCTCAAATCGTTGGTGCCCGTGGTGGTGCTGTTGTTGGTCGTCGGTTCCTCAGGATTCTGTGGTTTCGGTGGCACCTCTGCCGGGCCTCCTCCTTCTGTGCGTAACACCGAACCCATAATAGCCTGGAGATTGCAATGCATCTGTATATTCATCTTTGTCAGCATCTTCAGCTCCTGGATCATATGTTCATTGAACAGGATATGCTTTCTCTTCTGCTCCTTCGAAACGGCGGATGGTTCAATCTGCTCGTTTATTGACTTGAGGTTGGTCACCGTCTCGTTAAGCTGCTGGCAGCTCTCGTTGAACGTCTTCACGGTCTCCTCATCCCAGGTGTGTGCCTCGAGTTCCTTGATATCGGAATTGTCGTCCATAATGGACTTGGTGGGAACATCGTTAGTTTTTTTATCGGAATGAAGGGAGCCACAGCTGTCTGTGGGGCTGCTGTTATGCAATCGGGGAAAAGTCAACAGCTCCTGGACATTGTAACAGTTGGGCACCTCCGCTTCCGAATTAGCCTCCGCCATACCGACCTGAGCGATAAGCTCCCCGCTTTTGCTACTGCCGCTGACATTGCTATTGTCCTTCACCTTCGGTTGTTGGGCTTTGGGGCGCGGCATATTCTTGTTGGGCACGGGCCGGGCCAGTGGTGTTTTGAATTCTTTCAACGTTGCAACGTTGGGCTGGACTCGGCGGGGGAGTCCTGCGACGCGTGGCAGAAAACTCTTCTTCGCAGAAGACTTATTCGGAAGTGGAGTGGGTGCTGCCATGGCGAGAGCTGCCACAAGTGGTGTGGACTCAACGAAACGTTGATTGTTGACTCCCGCCGACAGGCGACGACTGCGTCCCGATCGCTCCTGGATTTGGGCTGACCAAAAGGGTAAGCCATAAAGGAAGTCCGGCAGAGGAGATAACAACTCACCATTTGGTGGATATTGCAAATCCAATCTGTTCGTGGGCATACCCATATTTACGAGCTGCGGCTTACGGTAAAGCGGCACCCGGCACGCTCGAGCCTTGGCCTGGGCCTGGGCCTGGGCCATATCCCTTTGCCGAAGGTGCTCCAATACTTGAGCCATTTTTAGGAAATCTGTTTATTTTATTTAGTTTGTTGTCTTTCTAGATTCTTAGATTCAAAATGTATGAGATTTATCTCTGTGTTTTACGATGATACAAAAAATATATTTCGAATATTTCAGACTGGAGATCAGACAACTTCCATACCGGACCGAAATCGGTGTTAGAATGAGATCTCCCTTATCCAAAACATCGAATGTAATAAACAGAAATCGAAATGCAACCAAGATCTCAAAGGTTCACCTGGAGATCATACATTCATCAATAATATAACTAAGTAGAAAAAAGGCAACAAAACTTATCAGATGTAATTATTATCCACGTTATATCTCAAACAAATCAGCATTTACCCAATGACTGGTAAATTGGTCATTAAGTACAAGTTCTGTGGGATCCACACTGAGAAAGATATTGTACTCAATCTTTGCAGAGTCATACCTAAAGCTTTTATGTAACTATATTTGATAATCGATCACTGGTGCGAGCTCAACAGCCTTCGCTTTCCGCCAAATTGTCCGGAGGAGGCCTGCCACTGTCCGTAAGTAGAGCGAGAGAGAGTGCCTGGTGATGGGCAGATAGATAATCCTTAAAAAACAAAACGTCAGTCCTAACGCACCGGTAACCCCTAGACCGCCCTGCGCTTCCTCGGCTGTGGATGACGTACCTGCTTACGGAGTTAAAACTCAGCCTAACGGGCGCGCTGTCTACGGCGACGGTTATCAGCCACTTCGGCTTCGACACGACGGTTAACGGGGTGGGGGTTATCTGCTACACTTACACTTTACCTTCACGTCTCTTGCCTCTCCCTCTACATACAGCATATTGCTCTTACTTAACTTAAACTAATTCCTGTTTCCGATGGCCGCTGACCAAAGTTACCCCAAAGTTAGAGATGAGGGCGAACGCAACTAAGTGCTCCTTCCCAGACCACTTCTAGACATCGTGAAGGGCGACGAGCGCATCTGCAGCGCAGAACCGGTGTCCGCAGAGGGAACTGTCGGTGTAGCGGCGTGCACAGAACAGAGACGTCACCTTGCTGCTCAGCTGCTGCCAGCGTTCGATGGCACGCGATGATCCCGGTGCCCGTGAATACCTGCTTTCCCAGTCATCAAGCGACGGTAAATTCTCCTCCTCCTCCTTCTCCTGATCTGGCAGAGCGACTGGGGCTGGAGCTGGAGCATGGGGCATCACCTGGCTGCATATGAGCACCTCGGCCCGCTCCTCTCGCCCATCCGCTTCGTTGTCCTCGTGGGGCAGAGCCGCGCAACTGTGGTTATCTTGATCTTGGCTGTAGAGACTCCTGTGTCGCAAAAACTAGTTCTCGGCAGTAAAACGTCTCAGATTTTAGGAATTACAATGTTCTATTTATAATAGGTAGAGATTGTCCATTATCCACACGTATAATCCCGAAAGCTTGCAATAGAAACAGATAAACTAATCAACTAAACTATTCAAATCGAAATTGAGAGTTTTAAGAACATATTGTTATCTTTTTTTGAAATAATAGAAAAGTTCTTCATTAGTTAGTTAAATTTTTATTTGTGGTTTTGGTTGGGGATTCTTGTTGTTATCATGGCCGTAGACAGTAGTAACGAAAACTTAGCTTCGGCGTTGAGTAGCCCAGAAACGTTTTGCATAATTTGTCAGGGAGGTTTAAGACAAGATCAGCTAATAGCTACCACGACTTGTCATCACTTCCATAATACGTGCGTATGTGAACACTTAAAAAGTGAGAAGTCTTGTCCTGTCTGCAAGGCGGAATGCGGTCCAGATAGTCTTCGATACGAGAATAACTCTCTAGCAGCGGAATTACACATAAGTGGAGGGCCCCTACCTGCGAATGTTCAGGCTAATGAATCCTTCGATGCGGCACCATCAGATCCAACGGTTTCGCATAGAAAAGGGAAAAATAACGGTACAGGTCGAGGGAGAGGAGCGATTGTAAAAAGGGGAATGCAAACAAGGTATCAAGCTAGCCTCGATCGTAATTTATATGGAAGTCGGCAATCTGTTAACAGTAACGGAAATAGGTCGCCTAGTCACGCAGCAGCCGAAGATCTTACCAGTTACATCCATTCGGCAATACAAAGTCAGGAGAAAACTATGATGGAAAACCTCAGTTCTTGCATTAAATCGTCGATTGAGAAAACCTTACAAACCGAGTTTGCCAACCTAAATTTAATCACGAATACTACCACGGTAAACAGAGGCCCATCAGAGTCGCGAAGTACTATTAGGTGGGAGGTAGATAACGGCGGTAATCTGAAGAGTTGTGCTTCTCAATTACAAAGCTCGAGAAACGATCGTATAAGCGAGACGGTAGCACCGGCAAAGTCCGTTAATATTTTACTCAGTGGGTGTCTTAAACTTTCAGGGTTTTGGGACTTTCATTTAAGAAACCACCAATACCACTGGCAATTGTTCTGTACAGCGTTCAGCCAAAGATTGGACGACCAGAAAGATGATTTTGATCTTTGGGAAATGATCAGGAAACGGCAGCAGAAGGAAAATGAAGCCTTCGAAGAATTGCAGTCAGCGATTTGAAAGTTAGTGGCTCGACTTTCACACGGGATAAGTGAACTCAAGCTGATCGATATTCTTAAAAGGAATGCAAAAAGTGCTCTTCGACACGAGCTTCTGCAGTTAAAAATTGAGAATAGAAGTGAGTTGAGGGAGGAAGTGAAAACGCATGAACATTTCTGTAAAGATGCTGGGAACTTTCTGCCGCGAAGCCGAGTTACTAGACCCAAGGTATAGAAAATTCAGAAGGATGACGAAGAACTCGAAGAGGAGAGTATCTCCGAGCTACGTCTCAAACGGGTTGTCTGTTGGAATTGTGACAAGACCGGTCATAGGTTTAAAGACTGCGTTGCGGAACGCCGCATCTTCTGTTATGGTTGCGGGGTGGAAAATACTTTTAAGCCAAAGTGCGAGAAATGTAACTCATCGGAAAACCGCAAACAGTATGCGCAAACCAGTACCAGTTGGTCGCATCCGACTATGAAGACCGATTAAAAGAAATGGTTTTCCAAGAAAGCTCCTCCAACCCGAATTTCCCAAAAGCTCTCTCGGAGAGGTCCTTGGCGGACGCCCAAACTCAGACGGATGAGATAGATATAGAGTGTAGCAGTACACACTCGGATAAGCTAGAATTTAAGTACAAACCTAAAAACTTAAAACAACCATTAAATGAAGACATTTCTGGGCTTCGGTAAAATGTGTTCGAAAGAGACTTGTCTCCTCGATCCTTATGAGGTTATTTGTAGAACTAAGTATAGGTACACAAAACATCATGGCCTTATTAGATTCAGGGGCTACAAATGAAGCTGCTGTCTTTCGCGGATCAAGCCAAGGCGAAAAAAATGTTCCGGAAACATTCGAACGGCCAATAATGAATCTTGTAGAGTCATAGCAAAAATAACCATTCCCATAACCTTCCGCGGCCAAACTAAAGACATAAAATTCTTAATATCAGTTAGCGGAATCTCACGAACAGAATGCAGTGAAATATAATTTAATAAGCCGTGTCCGTCAACTCAACATTGGAGACGACGTGTCAGCACGTATTACTAATTAGCTAGCGAAGATAAGAAAATCCTAGGAGTCCATCACCTCAAAGATATTCAGTTTAAATCTTAAGAGATCGCCTTCTTCAGTTGAAGTCTCACCGTAAGAACACTTACGTCTTCAACTGTGGTGTAGGGGCCGAAAGTAGGGAGATAGCTTAGAGCATCACTGATAAACAGACTTCCCGGTTCGGTAGCGCTTAAAAGTGCATGCCGAAAAAGAACTCCGAAAGTGGATCGTAAGCGGTAAGCTTTACGCCGAGCTTACGAATGAGAGTCGCTGCAGTGTTAGCACATGCAAGCGAGAGCCGTGCGCTTATCTAGATAAGAGAGTTAGGTATCGAGAGCATAAAACTTGACCTTGACGCTTGACCGAAATTCCACTCAAATCAGCGAAAGATCACGCGATTGTACCGTTAAAGCCTCGGTACAGCCTAGCTTTACTGGGATGAGTTTTGCTAGAGTTATTAGCAAAGAGTCGATCGACAAAACCAGACGTGATTGTGGCAAGTCTTATATATGTAGATATACCCTACACAAAACTTACATCATCCCTCGTGGCGAAGTTTTCTTGCAAGCCATAAATTCCGAGGAATCTATGTTGATCTGTGCTAGTGCCTAGTGAAAACAATAATCAACCAAGATATGTCTGCCGTGAGCTAGGAAAGACGGGGCTATATCGACTCGGCTATTGATGCTGATCAAGAATACATTTACCTTGTGGGTCGGAAACGTTTCCCTTTCTCCGTTACATACATCCACTTTGTGCATAAATACAATATACCCTATTTACTCTTCGAGTACCGGGTATAACAAATATAATACTCGAATTTATATTGTCTTCTGTTTCCGGCATAGCCGTTACACAAGTTTCGATTGGTTTTGCTTACTGGGGCATAGTCCTAGGATTTAANACCGGCATTCCGTACGTTGCCTGGCATCGATCACTGGTGCGAGCTCAACTGCCTTCGCTATCCGCCAAATTGTCCGGAGGAGGCCTGCCACTGTCCGTAAGTAGAGCGAGAGAGAGTGCCTGGTGATGCGCAGATAGATAATCCTTAAATTTGTTTTGCAGTCAGGATTGCGTGGCCATTGGGGATCTGGCGGGACGCGAAGGAGCCGACACCTACTGCATGGACGAATGCCTCAATTTTGAGTCGGATTGCCCGCGCGACAGATGCCGCTGCCAATAGTCGGTGAAGCCGAAGCTGTGCTGCCAATTGCCCCACCCCCAATAGACGATGTGAATGTGAAATGGAAGTGGAGAGAACGGAGAGGGAGATGTATGTCGTATAACGAGAATGAATTGAATTTGATTAAGGACAAAGGCTACCGGCGACTGGTTTCAATGGGGTTTCAATCTCTACTCCCGCTTGCGTTGATTCACGAGGAAGGGTCTGGTGAAGATCTGTAGCACTTCCCGCTGCTCGCGTAGACGTCGCGTCTTGGCCACAGGCGTCTCCCAACTGTCGGTGTAGCGGCGTGCACAGAACAGAGACGTCACCTTGCTGCTCAGCTGCTGCCAGCGTTCGATGGCACGCGATGATCCCGGTGCCCGTGAATATCTGCTTTCCCAGTCATCAAGCGACGGCAAATTCTCCTCCTCCTCCTTCTCCTGCTCTGGCAGAGCGACTGGGGCTGGAGCTGGAGCATGGGGCATCACCTGGCTGCATATGAGCACCTCGGCCCGCTCCTCTCGCCCATCCGCTTCGTTGTCCTCGTGGGGCAGACCCGAGCAGCTTCCGGCCTTGACATTGCTCACAAACTCGAAAGTGGAAGAGATGCGACGCAGTCTTTCACCCCCTGCTTCCTGCGGGGATGATCTTTTAGCTGTCACTGCTGCTGGTGCTTCACCTGCTTCGGAATTCAGCTTGTTGCGCATTCTATTCAGATTTGCATTTGAGATCATGTTCCCATAGGTGAATCGCAATTTGGCACGATGGCGTCGCGCCTGTTCGTCTGATACTCGCTTGTCCGGCTCTTGGAGCTGGGCCGGAGTATGGCTCGGCGCCGGAACCTGCGCCTGCTCATGCGCCTGGTCCTTGTTCTGTTTCTGGTTGGACATGGCAACTGCAACAAGATTTGCAACGAAAATTACACTAAAATTTGCCTCAATTATTGGGATTGGGATTGGGATTTTGACAATTTTGGGCTACACAATTGATGTACAATGACATCTGGTGCCAGGGCAATACACTTTTGGACTCACTTTTGTGCACTCTTCACATCTTTAATGGACAATATTAACTCGTACTGAACGCAATCTCAACAATGGTTTGGACACATTTTTGTCTCGTGGGTCTTAGGTCTCTACATTAAATGCTAAACAGCTTAGAAGCTTGGCAGCTTGGTAGCTTGGCGGCAACTTAGAACTGCAGCCGCTTTTTCTGTGGCAGGCTGTTGCCGCGAACGGTGGTCTCCACCAGCTTCCGCTTGACCGCCTGGCCGGGCTTCTCGTCGGCCTTAGCATTGGCCGCCACAATGGCCGAGGGTAGGGGCAGCTTGGGACCGACGGTGGGCGCCGGCTTGTTGCCAAAGTAGGGCATACTCAGGGCCTCGCGGCAGGAGACGCGTCGCAGCGGATTCATTGCGAAGAGGCGGCGCATTAGGTGGATGAGGTCATTGTCGGCGGCAGTGAATATGTTCTGCAACGGGGTGCCCGTGAAGTGACGGAATTGTAGATAGTCGTGGAGCTTCCCCAGGTACGGCCACTCGGCCTCTGTGGGTGTTCCCAGGGTGGCGAAGATGCGGGTCAGCTGATCCAGATCCGAGTCGCCGGGAATGAAAGGCACGCGCAGCATGAGCTCGGCCAGAATGCAGCCGACGGCCCACATGTCCACACCAGTGCCGTACTGGCGGGCGCCAAAGAGCAGCTCGGGCGACCGATACCAGCGCGTTACCACGTGATGGGTGTAGATGCGATTCGGCGACCCGTATGTCTTGGCCAGGCCAAAATCGCCGATCTTGAGCACTCCGTCGCTGTTGACCAGCAGATTGTTGGGCTTCAGATCGCGATGGAGGATCCAGTGCAGGTGCAGGTACTCCAGGCCGCGCAGCGTCATGATGGCGTACGCCTTGATGTTCGCCTGCGTGAGTATGATTTTGGTGTCTTTGATGATCACCTCCAGGTCGGTGTCCATGAAGTCGAACACCAGCGACACGTTCGACAGCTGCCCGAACACATCCACCAGACCGATGATGTTCTCGTGCTGCAGCTCTTGCAGAATTTTGATCTCACGCAAGGCAGTTCGATTGATGCCATCGCGCGCATCTTCGCGGCTGCCACGCTTGATCTTCTTCACGGCCACAATCTGGCTGGTCACTGTGTCCCGGGCCTTGTACACAATAGCGAACTACGGTTCAACATGCAAAGTAAATTGAGCGTCGAACAATATAGAGGCTTTTAGCGGCGAACTACTCACCTGGCCCTCACCAAGGAACGAGAGTTTGGCATAGCGGTCGCCTTTGTCGCTGCTGTGGGGCAACATTTGAGTGCCAGCTTCTCCGCTAAGCACCATTAATAACACAAATCAATCGGGCAAATCAATAGAATTGACGAACGTTAAATTGGCACTGGAAACAAAACCCAAACACAAAAAGTAATTAAATTGCACACAAGCAATCGATTGGCTTGCGCCGGTACTATCGAATCGAGCTAGCGAGACATCGATGACAAACATCGTTGTGGTGTTGTATGGCCAAAAAACATTGGACGTTGCTAACTTTTGTTAAGGCTTGTAGGGTACCTTTAGTATCCAGTACACGAGTACACACAGCTGATTCGTATGCCTGTTCTAGTTAGGTTCCACGCACACTATACATATTTATCAAATTTTTCGAAAGAATTTTGTGTGGTCCTGGATACCAGCTTTTAACTGCAAAAACGGAGATAACCTTGCGGAGATAAGTATTCAGTGAGCGAAGAAATATATGAATTTTCCATTTTCCTAGCTTGATGGCTGTGCGTGTGGTAAAACATAATTGTGTCCCAAAAAGTTTCTCAGTTCTGTGGCTGCGAACTCTAATATGTATTTTGTCTCCCATCAGCAAGGGTCTAGTGTCATATGCTCTTAATTTTAGTAAACATAAATGTAATCGCCCGTAAATATCGCTCTTTCTCCAGCTCGACAGCTTATCTGAAATTGTAAAATATTCAAATGTAATTGAGTGAAGTCGAATAAATTATATGGTTTGTGCTGAGAGCCTTGGCATGCTATGAAGACAAACATTATCAGTTGTTTAATTAGAGCGTGGCCAAGTAGGCCAAGTTAGCAGTTCTGCTCGGTATATTTGCGGTATATTTCTGAGGGTCAGCTGGTGAGTTTTGGTATATTTCTGCGGTCACACGATTGCACTGAATTCGCGACTATATACACAAAGAAAACATGAAATTTACTCTCGCCGACTGCTGATGTACACAAATCCACCCAGGGACTGAAAGCGCAATCACCAAGTACATCACACACAACCGCGGGGGGGTCGCGCGCACCTACGTGTCGTCCACAAAAATAAAAAAATGGTAAGCCCAAGTCATAGCCTCCTCCCAACCGCCGCCCACCGCTGATTGGTCTGGTGCTGGTGCTGCAACTGGCATTGGTACTGCTGTTGATTCATACCACTTCCTTTCTTGGATAGCATGCTGCATCTATGTCGACGGTGGAGGTGCTACTGCACGAGTTCTACCAGCCAACGACGAGCAATGCACGCAAACGTGAAATTGAGACTAATCTGTTGGCCTTCAAGTCGCAGCCGGAGGCATGGCAGCTGTGCCTGCGTGTGGCCACGGCGGGCAACAGCTTCACGGACAACCAGTTCCTCTGGTTCTTCAGCACCTCCACTCTGGAGCATACGATAACACGTCGCTGGGCCCAGCTAACGCCCTCGGATCGCGCCCAGTTGCGCGAAACTCTGTGGAACACCTACGCCCAGTTGGGTGTGCTGAATGCGGCGCGACGGCATCGGGACACGCTGGCGCAGCTGATAGCGCTGATGGGGAAACGCGAGTTCCCCGAACAAGATCCCAACTACATGCAGCACTGCATGGAGCTGACAAAGACCCGCTTTGTCCTTGGCATCAATCTGTTGCGCGTCACGTCCGAGGAGGTGGTGAGTAATCGCGGCGACCTGACCACCGAATGGAAACAGTACTTCTATTCCTGGTAAGTGACTGTGCAGCAATTCCTGCATCCTGCATCAACGCTCACACCTTTGTTTGTTTGTTTGCTTGCTCTTGTCCACAATGTCGAATGTCCCGGATTGTGTCCTGAACTGTGCACTAATCCCTCTGCATTTGCATTTGCATTGGCATTGGCATTGGCTCCGCTCCTCCACCATCTGTTCTCTTGGATGTCGTGTGTGTGTTTCAGCATTTCCATGTGTATACCCGATGTAATGGATTTAGTCACCAAATATTTACTAATCGCCGTCTGCCACATCAACGGCAAAGACATCCAATCGACCATACCAAACACCCTCATGGACTTTTGTCTAACCTCAGCGCTGCCAAATGACAATCAACTAAGGTATGTATACACCGCCTCCCCCACATCCCATATAGCAGGGACTCCCGCACGAGAGATTCATATATTCTGTCCATTCTGACTGTCTTTTGCAGTTCCTCTATTTTGGAGCTGCTCGGCTGTGTGCAACATTTGGTCTCCTGGATACGCACTGAACTGATCTCGGAGTACTTCCTTATGAGCATACTCGATCTATCTCAATGGCGACCAGCCAACGAGCCCATCTCCCTGGCTGCCCTCTCCGTGCTGAACGAGCTGCTGTACCTGCAGAAGCCGCTGCCCTATGCCGGCACCCTTATGGGCGGCGTTAGCAGTCTGCTGGAGCAGCACAATGTCAACAAGCAGCAGAGCGAGATGTACAGCGACAAGTTTCGTGAGCTGTTGCGCCTCTACACCACAAAGTATGCGGGAAAGCTGATGCAGGAGCCCGAAGTGCTCGAGACTTTTCTCAATCAGCTCTACGGCTGCACCACAGAATGTAAGTCTCTCCGCCTGCCCTAAAACTAAACCCAAACCTAAACCTAACTAATTGTTACCAAATTCAATCCCATGTGCAGTGCATGGCGCTCTCGACTTTACAGAGAAACTGGATATCTGGTCGCCTATTATTAAGGGGATTGCCCAGCAGCCGGCGAAGATAACGCGCTTTAATCATGTGTTCACGCAGCTGGTCGATGAGATCATGCGACGCACACAGTTCGAGGCGAACAAGCCAGAACTGGAGGTGCTGGACAACGAGCTCATGGAGGATGATGTAAGTCATTTCATTAGCATTCAATCCAATTGATTTATCTTTATCCCTCCGACGACAGACCCCCACCACCGAGTGGCAGCAGTTCCTTGACCAATGCTTCGAGTGCCTCGCCCTCTTGGCCAGCACCCGGGGCGCTCACATTGTCTTCGCACAAGTCTTTGCCCACTGGTCACGTCCGCAGATGTATCTGATGTCGTTGGAGCATGCCCTTGACCATGGGAGCAGCCGCTCCTATGAGGCAGCCCGAAAGCTCAAGCATGCGAATGTGGGCGATATTTTGCGCGATTTCGCCACCGTATGCCAGGCGGTGGTGCGCTTGGCCCCGCTGATGGACACCGCGACAGCCGCCCCGGTTGTGGCCGACGAGATGGAGGCCCAGCTGCAAATGCTCTCCGACAGCCTGCTGCAGACGCTGCAGCTCTTAGCCAGCAATCGCATCGGGGGAACGGACATGGACAAGGCCACGTTTCAGACTGATTTGGATAACCTGTAAGCGATTGAGTGGCCATTGCCTTTGCCCTTGCGCTTTAATCTTTAATTTGTACTGCACTCTTAATCCCTTAGCTACGCTCAAGTTCTGCTGGCCATACGCAGCATCTTCCCGCTGTCGAAGGCAATGAGCAGCGAGGAGCTGCTGCATCGCCTCTTCGCAATATTGGGCAGCATCTTTGCCTACAATAACTCGCTGTCGGCCGCCTCGCCCATTGTGCAGCAGGCGGCCAGCGAGCTGCTTCTCTTCATCTCAACTGTGATACGGCCCAAGTGCCTGCTGGATATTCCACAGATCCAGAGCCTCCTGCAGGCCGGCCCACGCCTGGGCACGCAACTGCCGCGTCAGGTCTGCATCAATGTGCACATCAGTCTGGTAAGCTACATGGTGCTGCCCTGGAAGTGTGTACCCGAGCAGCAGCAGGACTACCAGCGGCGCCAGTGGATGCTGCGCGAGTACATCCAGGGCCTGGCCCAAAACTTCCTTGACATCGATCTGAGTGTGGCTGGCGAGAGCAAGGTGACAGCCACCACGCTCACGCTGCTTGGCACATTCACATCACTCATCGAGTACTTCAAGGCCACTGGTGGCAATGCCAAGGACATGTTGGCTAGCACTTTCAAGGTGGGTACTGGAAGCACATACCAAATCAACCAAATCCAAGCTAATCTTTGATTTCTGCTTCTGCTTCTGCTTTTTGTTTTGTTTTGCAGCCCATCCTGAACAAGGCTTTGACGATCTTCAATAGCTATGGCCTAAGCAGCATTGCCATGGCCATTACGGTGGCCGAATTCAGTCTGAGCATGCTGCGATCATTGCCCACGCATCTGGGCGCCCAGTTCATCAAGGAGATGATTACGCTGTTTATCAGTGTCAGCAGCAGGTTGGCCAATCCACCAATCTGCCATTCCATGCCATTCCATGCCATTCTCAGCCTGCCTCTCTTTCCGATTCAAGCTAACTCCAATTTTATTTCCTTCTCTTTCATTTTCATGTTCGTTTGGAAACTCAAAAGGGAACAACTGACGCTGAGCCGCTTGGCTGTGATGGAAAAGATTCTTCAGATGTTTAAGCTCATTGTGGAACAGCCGGGCAGCGCATCGCTGGGGCTGCTGCCATCGATTCTGGACTTTAGCACACAGCAGATACTGCCATTGCTGCAGCAACAGAATGCGGCCACCGACAGCAGTGAGATTACTAGCCTGCTCTATGCCCTGTTCGACAGGTGAGATACTTTCCTTACCGTTCCGTAGCCTATTGACTAACTGGATTTCGCCCGTGCAGTGTGCTTACGTGTAAGTGGCAGTTCTTTTACAAGAACCAGCTGTCGAACGGGCATAGCGCCAGTGGTGGAGGCGGCTCGAACAACTTCAACTGCAGCGACAACCTGCATCCGGCACACTTTATGGCAATACTGAATGCCTACGGCCAGATGCTGGTCAGTGGCACGGATCCCAGCAATGTGCGCAGTGTGCTCTTCTCCATGCAGAACGTGAACGAGCGCAGTCGTCTGTACCAGCGGGCACTGTTCAAGGAGCAGCTGCTGGCCTCGTTTCAACGGGCCCTGCTCAATCTGTTGCTGAGTGGCGAGGGTAGCCTGCACTTTGACATGATTGCCCAGGCGCTGTATGCCATGGGCCAGGTGGATCGGCGGCAGTTGCTCGAGAGTTTTGGCCATGCCTCCCTGCCGGTGGCACAGGCGGTGCTCGAGGAGATCTGCCAGACAAGTGTGAGTATCAAAGCAGCGTCGTGCAATTCGAGACTCAAGACTCGAGAGGTTTACATTTGGTTTCTTTTTATTTTGCAGGACATTCCAACGTTTACGCAGAGACTCACGCAATTGATGCAAGATGCCCACTGTGCGCATCTCAGTGAGACAACGTAGGCGCCTACTCCTTCTCCCCCTCCCTTTTCTAAGCTTAGTCCCAATCCCAACTAATTACGCGCTCGGTTTGACTTTTGACTTGTGTAATGTGCTTACACGTTGACCCGCTAGTCCCTTGTACTTCTCTTGCATATCAATTAATCAATTGTATTCTTCGTTTTATGTTTTTGCTTCGTGTTCGAAATACTCTCGAGTGATGTGCCCACCAGTGTGGATGGGCATGTGCCTTGCCTAAACTCTTGTGTCATTCGTGCTCAGCTCTCACGTTTTCTTCGCGTTCCACTGTATCACTGTCCACACTTCCTTGTCCCCAGTCCCCAGACCCGTGCCTCGTACGCTTTGTTCCTTGTCATCGAAAGTCATTTGTGGTGCCCCCACCCCGTCTGAGTTTAATATTTTATATAATGTTTTATTTTTTTTTAATATGTTTTGTGTCATGTTTTTGTGACCGCCAATGGTCGAAACCAGAATTCATTCAATCGATAAAAGACATTGTTTAGCTTGTAATGCGCGATTCCGTTATGAAAAAAAGAGAACACATAATTGTATGTAAAATCAAAAGAACGTACAGATCAACTACATACTATTATTGCATGCATACATACATACGTACATACATACATACATAACTCGTACATGGATATGCATAGCCATGTTTTGGTTCTGTCATCAGTGTAAATCGATAAAAGTCATGCCTATACCTGCATATAATTAGCATATAGTGTATGCCAACGTCTAAATACAATCGTGTACGTATTCATATACATAAATTAATTAGCATATATCAAATTGTGTAAGTCGCTACGTCGTAAGAAAGAGCAGAAACTAAAACACACACTCAAACATACTCACGCCAACACCATTTGTAATTTATTTATGCAGCAAACAGAAAACTGAAAACGACACCACACAGAAACAATCAATGCAAATCCATATTCAAGTCCAAACCGATTTCGATTTAAGTTAATTATAATTCTTTGAATTCAAAAATGTTTTCACAAGACCGTTCAATTCAATCGGAAATGCAATAAAACTATTTTTACCTTTTAAACACAACAAAGAACAACAACAACGAAAACAAGGGGATAATATCATCGGGCAATTCTAGGACTTGGAAACATCAAGCAGCGAAAGGCTACAATTTCGCAATGCTTAATATAAAATCTCTTTTTGTGTGTGACTCTCTCTTCTTTTTTCTTTAATTTGAATGCGAACTCACGTGTTGTGAAAGCAGTGCAAGCAGTGCAAGCAGTGCATAGTCAGCTAATCGAGTCAGAATATCAGAATTATCTGAAATACCCGAATTTACAGCATAATTGGACATTTTGGAATGTAGGATGTACTCAAAAGGAGTTCTGTTACTGCACACGACACGCTCTGGACACGCGCTCGGGCCTGCTGAAAGTAGAACTAATCCAATTGCAAATGAAAATAAATAGTTAAAAGGATCACTTGAAGCAACAAACACCAGAAACGTAGCATGGCAGGGGGAGGAGGATGGACAGGAGGAGGAGCAGGAGGAGGTATTCCTCTGGAGGATAATAAAAGCGACAGCTTCCTTCCTTTTGTCTGCAGTTCCCTATGGCCTTTGTGTAATTTTTGAATTTTTGTTCAGGTGTTGCGAACAAAAGCACCGAAATTGAATTTAATGAAAAGCGAAAGCAAAACACTGCACAGGATCAGCCCGAAAGGGGAACAACAGCGCACGGCAGATCACCCACTTCCGCTCCGTTCTGCAGAGGCAGCAGGTAAATCACAGCCACAGGTAGACATCGGGCATCAGTCACTAACCACTTTGCATACCCATTTCATTTCATTCCATTCCATCCCAGCCCAGCCCAGCCCAGCCAGTACGGAATCCGTCGAGCATCCTGCCCTCTCTCCTGGGCACTTCCGCAGGAAGCAAGCGGAAGAGAGTGTGCGCGCGCTCACTTTCCATGGCCGTGTGGCAAATCAATCGACCGAACGACCCATCGCTGACAATGACGAGTCGGGCAAGTGGAGCTTCCAAAGGGCAAACGCTTCGAGCGACAGGCTACGACTGCGTGACATGGATTTGGTTTGCTAATTCGCCGCCAGCCGATGGGCCAGCCGGAATACGCTTGACTCTTGGCGTGCCCCGCGGCGATTGCGTCCACGGTCCGAGGCAGTGGCCGGCGGGCATAAAATTGAGACAACGGCCTGTTTAGCCTCACAGTTGAGCACTGCAAGCGAGACGCACCAGTGCCCCCAGAGCCAACTTGGAGGATTAGCGGACTAGGAATCAACGAAGGAAGGAAGGAAGCAGCAACAATGACAGTGGACACGGTGCAGGAGACGCTGCAACATGCGGCCACATCGACATCGGGACTCGGGTTCAGCCCCATGCTCACCACCCTGCTCGGCACCATAGTGGCCCTGGGCCTGTACGAGTACTGGCGCCGCAATACCCGGGAGTACCGCATGGTGGCCAACATACCGTCACCGCCGGGACTACCGCTGCTGGGACAGGCTCACATGGTCGCCGGTCTGAGCAATGCTGAGATTCTAAATGTGGGACTCGGCTACCTGAACAAGTACGGCGAGACGATGAAGACCTGGCTGGGCAATGTCCTCCTCGTCTTCCTCACCAATCCCAACGACATTGAGCTGATCCTGAGCGGGCATCAGCATCTGACCAAGGCCGAGGAGTATCGCTACTTCAAGCCCTGGTTCGGCAATGGCCTGCTGATCAGCAACGGACACCACTGGCGCCACCATCGCAAGATGATTGCCCCCACCTTCCATCAGAGCATTCTGAAGAGCTTTGTGCCGACGTTCGTGAACCACTCGAAGACGGTTGTGGGCCGCATGGCCCTGGAGACGGGCAAGTCCTTCGATGTGCACGACTACATGTCCACGACCACCGTCGACATTCTGCTCTCCACCGCCATGGGTGTGAAGAAGCTGCCCGAGGGCAACAAGAGCTTCGAGTATGCCCAGGCCGTCGTCGACATGTGCGACATCATCCACAAGCGGCAGGTGAAGCTGCTGTACCGCCTGGACTCGATCTACAAGTTTACCAAGTTGCGTGAGAAGGGCGACCGCATGATGAACATCATTTTGGGCATGACCAGCAAGGTGGTGAAGGATCGCAAGCAGAACTTCCAGGAGGAGTCGCGTGCCATTGTCGACGAGGTGCAGGCCGTTTCCACACCTGCCACCAAGAAGGAGGGTCTCCGCGACGATCTCGATGACATTGATGAGAACGATGTGGGTGCCAAGCGCCGTCTGGCCCTGCTCGACGCCATGGTTGAGATGGCCAAGAACCCCGATATCGAGTGGAACGAGAAGGACATCATCGATGAGGTGAACACCATTATGTTTGAGGGTCACGACACCACCTCGGCTGGCTCTAGCTTTGCCCTCTGCATGATGGGCATCCACAAGGACATACAGGAGAAGGTCTTTGCAGAGCAGAAGGCCATCTTTGGAGACAACATGCTGCGCGACTGCACCTTCGCCGACACCATGGAGATGAAGTACCTCGAGCGTGTCATTCTCGAGACTCTGCGCTTGTACCCACCAGTACCCCTGATTGCCCGCCGCCTGGACTATGACCTGAAGCTGGCCAGCGGCCCCTACACCGTGCCCAAGGGCAGCACCGTCGTCGTGCTGCAGTACTGCGTCCACCGTCGCCCCGACATCTACCCCAACCCGACCAAGTTCGATCCGGACAACTTCCTGCCCGAGCGCATGGCCAACAGGCACTACTACTCCTTCATTCCGTTCTCGGCCGGTCCCCGCAGCTGTGTGGGCCGCAAGTACGCTATGCTCAAGCTGAAGGTCCTTCTCTCCACCATCGTCCGCAACTACATTGTCCACAGCACCGACACGGAGGCGGACTTTAAGCTGCAGGCCGACATCATTCTCAAGCTGGAGAATGGCTTCAACATCAGCCTGGAGAAGCGCAAGTACGCGACTGTCGCTTAAACGTTCCAACTGTGTATATACCGTACCGTACCGCCCCGTACCGCACCGCACCGCAACGCAAATGCAAACGAAATGAAACCGAGCAGTTAGAAGCCGCCAGTCAGCCAGAGAGTCAACCAAGTGAGTGAGTGGGATCGATCCAGCCATCAGTGCCATTTGCTCCAATGTTTTTTTGTTATATTTTTACTACACTTTTTTTGTTGGTCATAACGCAGGTGGTGCGCTTATATCCATAATCCACACTATAATACGCACAAAATCATGGCGGTGCAACCTCTATACGGTACATCGCCATCATTTTCTATCCCTTCTTAATCGTTTCAAAACGCTTTTTGCATTTCCTTTCTCGTTTTTTTTTTTTGCCTAGCCAAGTAGTGTGATTTTTTTTGTCTATTGTAATATTTATTAAGTCACATGGTTTGAATGAAACCCAAAAAATATGAAAAATATACTTCCGCCATCGCAAGCAGCCAATGGAGCTGCAAAAATAATCATTTGAATAATATTCTAGTTTTGATTTTGTTTTTCAATGCCACAAGTACAAGCAGACTTTACTTGCAGACACATAACATAGCTGCATCCATAAAACATTTGATATTTCATTGCATTGATTGGTTGGAACTGGTCTTCGAGCTTATATGGCAAATAGTGTGAATGACTGCTCTGACAAAGGAGGGCGGCCAGCAGCTATTGGCCCTCATTGGGGTAATGCGCTAATGCGACGCAATCTGCAGCCACAAAGTCGATGCCACTGTCAAAATATTGATGCCGCCTCTCCGCGGAGCCGCGACCAAGGGCAGACGACATCCATTGTGCTGTTTAACCGGGACCCACGCATATTTGTTAATATTACGCGGGTCGCAGCAACGATTGATAGAGGAGACGGGGGATCCCTGCCCTTCGCTCACTTAAGTCGACACCTCATTTCGTGGGGTGATTTGTAACGCGATTAATCGCAACGATCGATCGAGAGAGTCTGACAAATGCAAATACCATTGTCCGCCAATCGAGAGCAGTTTATCGCAATTGTATCTGATCGTTCCAGCGAGATCTTATGCAAAAAGCTCAGAGTATCTTTATATACAGAGTTTATTTTGCATTCGAAATTCTCGCCATGTCATTGCTTCCTCTTGAATGATTGGAGGAGTCGGCTTTCACTTTTGGTCCTAGGCTATGTTCCGTTTCGCTCGATCATCGATTAACGAGCATCGGATTACGAAACGAGATGGGAACAAAGCGGAAATCCTTTCGGTTTCTGCCGCACTTCCTTACCCGTTTTCACAGTTGCCAAACACGATTAATGAACCCGTTCGGAGCGCAGCATCCCTACAGCAGGTCCTTCCTTCCTTCCTTCCTTCCTTTCGCACACACATCGATTCTGTTTGGTCATTGTCCTTTTTTTGCGCTAGACAAATAGCGTATACAACGACACCGACCCCGAACCGCCGCCAACGGCTACGGTTACCAATTTAATTGCGTTTACCTCTACCTCCTGCACCCTGTACCTGTGTCCATCCATCGCCTGGTTCGATGGTTCGATCATCTGTAATCCAATGCGGTCCTCGCATTGCCATTTTTTGTTTGGCGGCTGCTAGCCGGATGTTTGTGTACATTTGTTTAGTTTTTTATGGCGGGTGAAACCCTTTTAGGACACCCTCGGATGTCCTTCATGTGTGACACACAGGAGACGCTTTGATGACCGCCGTACCGATCCATACCGATAGGTCTAATGCCGCCAACCACAAGTCATTAAAGGGACATTTTTATTTTCTATTCACAGCCAGATTCGGGTCTTTTGGCATGTGCTGCCAACGATTTCCTTTACTCGTAGGTATATCCATACATAAATTTTGCAATTAATGTTTGCTGGGACAAATAGAAGATCTGAGATCTAGCTTTAAATGGGTATTTAATTGATTAAAATAATACTTGAACTAAGGATATAAATATGTATGTTACTCATGAAACGTTTAAGAATGCAATTTGGCAGCAAGTCAAAGTACAAGCTTATTATTCCCATTTTATTTATAGGTTAAAATAAAATTAGAAGCATTAGGAAATAATAATAAAATTAATTAAGTGGCTGTAAGGTTTTCATCTACATTTATTTCTTCTTTAACTGAAAACGTCGCTCAGTGATTCAGAATTCTACTTCACTTTATTCCACGTCAAATAAAGCCGAGAGTTTAAATCATAGAATCACTTAAATAATTGAGATGTTTCCGGGATGCCCGTCGTGTGGCCATTCAACTGGAGAGTGGCGGTGTCATTATGAGACGACCCCACACCTGGCCAGGGAGCTGAACCGAACTCGAACCCGCACCAATTCTCAGTTTGTCAAGTTCAATGCAGCTTCAGGGGAAGTGGCAGCGAACAAAGAGCGGCTGGAAAACGGCAAGGATGACTCAATCAATGCAATGCAAAACTGAAGAAAACTGCAGAAAACGCTTCCTGGAGTGTCCTCATTCATTCAATGGCCGAGAGCTGTCAAAATTCTGTTTGGTCATAGAACGAGAAGAGTGTTTGATGGCTCAATTCCGAGTGTAGAGCTCTGAGGCCACCCCGAGTGCATTAGTCAAAACAGGATAAGAAAGAAAAGAGTGCCAGTCTGGGATGGGACCGGGACACACGTGGAGACAGAGACACTGCCATCGAGGCAATAGAAAATGTCCTGGAAAACATGTGCTGCCAAGCCTTGGGCCTGCGCCTGGGCCTTGGGGGCAACAACTGTTTTCCCGTTTCAATCTGTAATTGTATCAGTTTGCTGCATGCAGCAGCAGATGTTGTCCTTATGCCATTCATTTTGAGGGGGGACATTAGGACAATATGGAAGCAGACATCGACTCGACTCATGAATGAAATTAACTCAATTTCTGTCAGCCGCAAGGCGCAAGATCATCTCCTTGTGGTTTACTGTGGGCGGAGGGCTTAGGTGAACCTCTTCCCTAAGCGCTTCTGGAAAGTGTTAAGCGGCCAAGAGACCAGACTGCAGAGTGCTCGCAGCCCAGCCGTTTTCTCATCCTCTTGACCTGCTTTCCCATTTGCGGTTTAAGCGCTTAAGGACTTAGACACAAAGCGCACACTTAAGTGCCTCATTGTGGCCTGAAGTGCGTCCACTCCAAGGAGCACACACAGACTGCCATGCCGCAGAGCCTCAAAGAGCAGAAGCACGTACATAAGGCAAATATTATAATTGCCAGCGAAGCCAGCCATCGGAGCCACGCTGGGTTATGCCTAAACGAGGCTTAACTCCTTGCCCAAGAAAACTGGGTTAAGAAACCAGATCAAAGCCGATCCACTGAATGACAAAACTCTGAAGCCGAAAAGCGAGGATCAGACGGCTCAGACACTCGAACAAGTATCAAGAACACTTAAGTTCTGAATGTATGAATGAACGCTATCACGAGATGATCTCTGAGCCAGATTCCAGTCAAATCTGATCAATGAACGGAGCGAAGATCTCACCCATACTCCAATATGTAAACTGTGCTGAAACAATGATCTTGCATTGCATCATTTATAAGTTCTTGCTACACTGATCGATTCCCGATGGATCCTTGTAGTGTGCTTCTTGCAACATGAGTTCCTCCTGCCCTTGGTCTTAGATATCTCATAAGCCACAAATGAACATTGGCTTCATTCGGGCTATATATCACCTTATCCCTCCTGTCCCCTACCCCCAAGTACTTGTTAACTGTCGTAATTACAATCGAAATGCCAGGTCTGGCAGCGCGTGCTTGGCCCCAAGTTAGCACCTGGCCATGGGTTGTGTCTCTGGCTGTGGCTGCTTCAATGGTAATGTAATATGCCTCCAGCCGGTGACAAGAGGGGCACGGTAGATGGTGGGGGGCACCCAATCAACCGACTCAGGGGCATGCGCATGCGCACACGCTCAATGGGCACAGATCAAGAAGGAGATTCGGGAACGGGAACGGATCGTATCGTGCGGGTGGGGGCATGATAATAATGAGTTATTACACGAAATGATATATGAATATTCAATGGTGACATGTGCGCCCCGACTTTGCCCCGGGGCGTGAACCGATCGCATAACTGTACTTGCCATACGGTAAAAATCAAAAGGCAGAGAGAGGAGAGCACCAGTAAACCCCACCCAGAGCTCTGTAACCGAATCCGTACAGCGAAGGACACGAGCTCCGGTAGGGAACGGTAACGGTAACGGCCAGGGAGCAGGGAGCAGGGAGCAGGGGGCAACAGAGCATTCATCTGTCTTAAGCCTTTTCCCATTCACAAAACCAAAAAAAAAAAAGAGAACAGAACGATGTCTGAAATTGATTTTTGGGAATCGAATGGAAAATTGAAATACGAGAAACAAAATCGAAGGTGTACGATAGACAGAGAGAGAGAGAGAGAGAGAGAGAGTCAGGGGGTGTCGCATTACCTGGAACCAATATTTAATAATAATCATAACGGAGCTGAGCAGATTTTCACTGCTAACGGCACAGATCGGCGCAAAAACAGTTACCTCCAGGGCACCCACAAAGGAAAAGTTGAAGGAGACCAAGGGAAAATGCAGCTAGAGAACGAGCCTCGACAAACACACCTGGCTGGCACAGGGGATAGGGGATAGGGGACATGGAATAGCCGAGAGGCGAGGAGGGAAACTGGAAACGGGCAACCGGCAACCGGCAACTGGTAGATGCCATTAATGGGACACTCGAGGGGGTTGTAGGCGCACAGCAAACCGACACATGCACACCCCTCACACACACACACACACACACACACGCACACACACACTCTTATTACCCAAGGTCTAATCGAATCCGAATCCGAATCCGACCCAAACCGAACCGAACCGAACGGTAAAGATGGATTTTGGGTACTGCAGATGCACGTTCCGTTCCCTCCCCCCACTCTCTGTGTTGGGCACAGGCCAAGAAGGTTCTTGGGCCATCGCCTTGGGCCTGGGTGTCTTTATGGGCAAACGATTTTCAATTGATTTTCCTCATTGTTTTCCCCTGCATGCCTGTGTGTTTGTGTGTGTGTGTGTGTGTGCAAGAGTTTTCTTGGATAATTTTGCATCATATATCCTTTGGATTGGCGCGTTTTTTTCTGTTTATTTTCTCTGATTTTTGTGCCCCGAGTTCTGGCAGCTGTCCACAAGACAGCGAGCCCGATCAGGAGACAACCAAGGCACAGGCACAGGCACAGGACAATGCGAACTGCATACAATTAGCCGAGTGTCTAGCGCCAAGTCAGGATGAGGGTGAGAAAGATGCAGGGATTTACGGCTGGTTGAGGTAAGATATTTGTTTTTGCTTCTGCCAAGGTATATTCCTGCTCTGAGCGAACTGCCAAGATTTATTTATAATATATATTATTATAATTGGAGAGCAAATGGGCAGCGAAACAAAAAGAAACACAAACCCGATAGAGCCGGGGGAGCTCTCTAGAATATTCCAGAAGAATTTACACAATTATCCATAAATTGATCCTTAAGCCTGATGCTACACAAATATCAGCACTATTAAGAGTTATGCAAATCCCAAAGTGTTCGATCTGTGGTCCTCAATTTTGATGGGAATGCCTCAAAATGTGATCGACCTTTTGTGGTTGCGCCTCATCGGTATGCGGCCGTGGTCGTCCTCCCCGAGGACTGTAATTCTTAATTACGCTCTCATTAGGATTCGGACCGTTACAAACTGAATGCCGAACACTTGCAGGATGCCAACGAATAATTCCCATAGACATTCCCACGTTGCACAGTCCCTGGTGGCCCGGTCTCGGTCTCGGTCTCCTTGGGCATATGCCACTGTCATTTATCAGGACGTGGACATGAGGCTCATTTGAATATAAAGTAAGCGGCGCACTCAAGCGCAGTGCCTTACCAGCTCATGGCAGTGCCAGCCCCCTGCCGCCCTGCCGCCCTGCCACCCTGCCACCCTGATATGCAAATGTATATCCATCTTTGTCGCTCTCCCTCCGCGTATATCTATCTCTATCCATCCATCAAGCGCCGTGTCCTTGCATGCTTGGCCGCTTATGAAAATGAACATGATATGCTGATTCCATTCCACTCTTTCCTCTTTTTTTTCATTTGTGTTTTTTTCGTTTCCACTGTGGTACGGGATGGGTCAGACTCCGGATTCCCGTTTCGAGCCAGACTTTTCCCTCCCCTGCGATGACTGTGCAGTGTTGGTAGGGACCTTTAAGCTGTTAGACATCTGATCTGTTTCGCAGGATCAGCGCTGGGAACTTTGTCTGCTGTTTGATCAGCCCGGGAAATGATTGTACCTCCCATGAATGCTGCAGACCCATGGCTGTCGATAAAGAACACTTAATAGCTATAAGGGCAATGGAACATATCAATCAAATATATTAGTTCAACTACAAATATCTGAATGAAATATTTCTGAATGATGAAACTAGATTTCTGTTTGAGTAATTCTCCTTCTTGTTGACTTTTGGTTACCAAAAAGTAACCATAAATAAATGTTTTTACCCTTGAAGCTTTAAAGTTTCTTTGAGTTACAGATTTAATTTTACATTCTACATTTTAATAATCTAATTACTCGAAGCTAGACAAAGAATTATTGCTCCACTTGTGTAGTTTGTGCTGTTTGCCACCCAATAATTTCGCTTTGGTTTTTCAAAAAATATTGTTCATTTATGTATTTGCATTTGATGTATGTATGTATGTACATATTATATTTCTTCACTTATCAACTCAACATTAAGTGGTTCATTTAATTAGATCTATGAAAAAAATATATGCTTACCGATCTGAACATAATAATAATAAAAAAAAATTAGGTTCTTGGCTCTACAAATGAAACCCAACTAAAGGATGTGTAACTATTGTGCGGGGCTGGGTGGCTGGGTGGCTGGGTGGGTGGTTGGGCAGGCTGGTAATTGGGGAAGATTTGGTTAGTTTGGTTTTGGTTTTGTATCACTAGATGACTAAGGGACTCTGCTCCTTCGCTCTGGTTCAGCTGACGTTTCCCTTTCTACTATTTACACAATGACTGGGTCAAGGGTCCGCAGGAGCAAACTACAAAAGAAATGGATTGTGAATCACATGAGCACTGCTGATGTGTCGTTGGAGCTGGATGCCGGTCCCGTCTCCGATTTGGGCGTGTGCGCCTCCCACCAGTCAATGGCATCGATCATGCTCTCGTCGGAGAGACATCCGCCGACTCCCACGGCACCGACTGAGCCCACAGTGGCACCACCCGCTGGATCCTGGTGGAGCATGTCGTTGAATTCCTTCTTGAAGCTGGGCAGACCCACCACCACATTGTCGTAGAAGCTGACGGGCTCCTGGTCGTAGAAGGCGGGCAGTATGGGCGAGCACAGCATTTGGGCCTGATCCTGTGAATAGTTCAGGCCTGTTGTCGGTGAATTGGCATTCGTATTGGTGTTGGTGTTAGTGTTGGCCCTGCTGCTGCTGCTGCTACTGTTGTTGTTGTTGTTGTTGTTGTTGTTGTTGGCGTATTCCTGTTTGATCAGTTGCTGCTGCAGCTGGGCGGCACACGCCTGCAACAGGAGTTCATTAGCAACGGCGACAGGTGAAACTGTAACTGTCTCGAGCGCATTGCCGCTCGCTGGTTGAGGCATTGATGAACTGCCTCGCTGTATTGGGGATGTGCAGGGACTGCTTGTGGTGACTGCCCCTGCCCCTACCCCTGCTGCTGCTCCTGCTGATACTGGTGGTGGTGGCACGGGCGATCGCGATAAGTTCGAACCGCTTTGGGCAGCTGCAATCGGCAGTGCCGTGGCAGGGGGATCGGGACTGGCATTGCTGCTCAGGCAATTTGTGTCAATTAAGGCGCCGCCGAAGTGCTCCTCGTCCAGGCTGGAGCTGCTGCCCAGCATGTCCGGGGTCACCAGCTGATAGGTGTTCGTTCCCGGTATCCGCAAGTACTGCATTCCATTGAGGGTCGTTACGCAGGGCAGCAGGTCCGTTTCCTGTGGTGTCTGCTCTGGCTCTGGCTCTGGCTCTGGCTGCTCCTGCTGCTGGCTGGTGCCTCCTATGGCTGCTCCTGCAGTCTCCTCCAACTCGTAGTTGCTAAGAGAATCATCAAAGTGCTCGTCCAGGCCATCAAACTCGTCCTTGATGAACATGAAGCTGTCATCGCCGCTGCTCGAGCTGTTCGCATGGAAGCCCAGCGGTGGGAAGTCGAAGCCCAGCAGCTTCTCCAGACTCCGAATGTACTCGACGGCCATGCGCAGCGTCTCCACCTTGGACAGCTTCTTGCTGGCACCCCGTCCGGCGCCTTGCGCCTCAAACGCCTCCGAAACCTCCTCGGGTATGCGCTCCCGGAGCAGCGCAAATCCATTGTTGACCTGCTTCACGCGATTCCTTTCTCGGGCATTGCGACGTGCCACCGCCTGCGGCATCGGCAGACCCTTGCGTCCGGGCGTACCCGCTGATTTGGCATCCAGCTCCAGGCAGGGAGACGCGGCAGTGGGTGCCGCCTGCTTGGTCGCTGCATTGCTTCTCGACTTATCCTTGGCCACCCTTGGCTCCTGGCTCTTCTTGCTCAGTTTGCTGCGCTTGGCACTGCCCCCCGCCGGAGGTTTGCTCGGCGTGATCAGGATGCTGTTCTGTGAGTTCTGCGCGTTCTGCGAGTTCTGCTTGGACTCGCCCAGCGGTCGCTTGCGTTGGCCTAAAGTTCCCGAGTTGGTTGTGGCCGAGGCGGCGGCACTCTGCACCGCTCCGAGCATGCCAAAGTCTCGGATCTTGCGGATGATCGTGTTCTGGTTGGCAATGTGCTGCTGCAGTGCATTCGCCCCGCTCTCGCTGAGGACATTGTGGACGGTGATCTTGCCAAAGGGCTTGCTGGAGCCCAGCGGCTGGATGCTGTTCTCCTTGGAGGCGGACGAGCTGCCCGTCGACTTGGCTTGCGTCTGCGGCGGCGGTGAGGGGCTGAAGCTGAGTGCAGCCATTGGGTTGGCAGTGGCTTGGATTGGATTACCTTTGGCTTTGAGCTGGGGGTGAGGGGTTCTTCCAGAGCTTGTTCTCTCCTTGGCGAGTGTTGGGCGGCAACTGCTGCTGTTGCGGGTGCTGCTGGTGGTGCTCCTCCTGCTCGTTGTAGTTAGTGCTGCGTTTTGCGTTGCTTAGAGAATGTGTGTCCTTGCGTCAGGACAGCTGGCAGCGTTCTGTGTCGCGTGCCCCGATATCTGGCGGCAGAACTCCAAAAACTGAACTGTCACCGATCAACGGAAAGGAAACGCAAGGCAAGGCCAGGAATAAAACGGATCGGAACGCCGGCGTTGACTGCGCTGCTCTGCTCTCCGCTGCTGTGCTCTGCCAGCGGAAATGACTTCGTTGACTGACTGATGGCGCGCACACAACGCACACACACACATACACACACACACAATGCCACAACAAAATATAACGTATCCTTCGTGTCGTATCCCTCACATACCTCGCACACACCTCATGTCCTTCCCTCTCCCCTTCCCATTCCCTTTCCCCACCGCTTATGTAAAACATAATGAAATGAAAACAACAAGCAGCAGCGGCAGCAGCAGCAGCAGCACTCTCTTACTCGTAACAGAGGTCTGACTTTTCATCCCCTGGCTCGTAGATCCCTTATAGGGTAGCGTAGTGTAGGGTAGGGTAGGGTGTCCACACTCGCACGCACACATCCAGACACAGCACACACAAAGGCTCAGCTCAGCTCAGGCTTTTGGGAAAACTAACATCTGATCCACTCCACCTGGACAAGGGTGGTTTCCCACCACAACTTCAGAGCTCCTCTCTGTGCTGATCTCTCTATATCTCTCTCTCCCTCACCGTTCTCTGGCTCTGCTCTCCGCCTGGTTATATACCGCCCCTTGATATATATAATGTAAAGACCCAAAGCAAAGGCCAGATCGAAGCTCTGGCAGCCCTGGTCGATGAGGCCAGTACCTTGGCACAAATTGCCACCTTTAAATTCCCACACAATCACGCACGTAGACGCGGGGCCATACATATATCTCTCTCTTGATTACTTGATAGAGGAAAGCGCAGAATCGATCGAACCTTTATTTTATATTGTGAAGCTTCCAACAATCCAGTCTAGAACTACGACAATGAGCCATACTGATTCAAGCACTCCCCTAAACATATCGACGAAATCACACAAAAACTTGTCCCAAATCTCTAAGAAATGAAATCCAACCCATACATCAAAGCAAATCAGCGAAATGTCACTTTCTCTCAACTTTCCACTAAATCATTTAGACAAGATTTTCACGGATATTCCCATGTGAATCCTAGGAATTGTCTCTGGGACCCTCAATCTCTCCAAGATGTAAAGAAAATGAGGGCTTGGCCAGGGCATTGTGCAAAATCATTTGCCAATTGTCGAGCTAATTAAGGGAAATGAAAGGAGAGAGAGGCAAAGGAACGAACTCGGATATCTTGGCAAATTTGTATGGCCATAAATCCTAATTAAAATTGACAAGATCCGAGAAAGAATTTAGCCACCTCTAAGGGTAAGCCCAAACGCTAAGCCATCATCTTCCGAGCAATGGCAACAGCAACAGCAACATTGCGTCATTCCAGCAACTTACTTGCGGCATGCTCTACTTTCTGCCTCGGGTTCAGGTTCAGACTGAGATTCAGCTTCAGTTTGAGTTCCGAGTTTGGGCCGTGGGCCGTAGGGCAATTAGTTTGTTGTCTGTCCGTCTGGTGGGAAAATAATTTTCGGATTTTGGCAAAAATTCTCGAAGCTTAAGTCGGCGTCTCGGAAACTAGTTTTTAGGCCAGGGAGTGGATCGATGGCAGTCCAACAGTTTTTTTTTATTCGTTTTCTTTGGGGTTTTTAGTGGTTCTTTTTTTTCGGCTTGGGCCAGGTAGTTGCTGATAGACCTGATCCTGACGAGTATCCTTCGCTCTCTCTCGCTCTCGCTCTAGCTCAGTGTGCGTACTTGCTACACAATTTATAAACTTGAGTTCACTTGAAAAGTTCAAGGAAACGACTTGAGCAGGATCAGAGGCAGGAGGCAGGCGGCAGAGGACTTTGACTACCGGTTTCGCCTGAATGGATGTCGATCGGCTGTGGATCCTTGTTTTTGCTGCTGGTCCGGAGTTCCTGCCACCAGTCAACAGTCAACAGTTGTGTGCGTGCGCATATTTCTGGGATCGGGCTCGGGCTCGGGCTCGAGCTCCTTCGATCCCTTTTGCGCCTGCATTGTTTTTCGATGAGGACGAACGCTTTGACTTGGTTCCGTCCCACTTTGACGACACGACACGATACGCCTAGAGATGCCACAGCCCCTACACACGCATACATATACAAATATAATGAATATAAGAGCTTCGTCTCGCTGCAATTATAATCAAAACGAGAAGGGACGTGACAGACGCTTCTTACGCGTCACAACTTTTATACCCGGCACTCAGTACTACATCTGCACCGTAGCGGTTATTCCGCCCTTCCCTAGACCCACACACTGCACACTCGCGGCAGAGGCAGCACCCGCACACCTGGGGTGGGTTAAAAGTCGCCAGATGCAGCGGCAGGGGGAGGGCAGAGGCAGAGGCTGAGTGAAGCAGAAGCAGAATGTGAATGAGAGAATGTGAAAAGAACAACAAAAGTTGCGGGACTGGGTGGGTTGAGCCACTGCAAATTTATTTCTTCATTCTGGCTATAATAATGATCCAATCGGATCACATTTGGTGATCTGATAGATATGGCCATTCCCTACGGAATGGAGTTTTTAGTTTTCTGTTATCTTCAAAATTGTAGATTTGGAAGGTTTTCGCCCTTTTGTGGGGGCGGAAGGGGCGTGGCTCATTTTTTAAATACACTTGTAACAGTGTGAGCATACAGAAGTCTGGATGCAAAATTTGGTGGCTCTAGCTCTTATAGTCTCTGAGAACTAGCCGACAAACAAGACGGACGGACGGACAGACGGACAGACAGATATGGCTCTATCGACTCGGCTATTGATGCTGATCAAGAATATATATCCATTACGGGGTCGGAAACGCTTCCTTCTGTGCGTTGCATACAACCGTTATTCTCCACAAATACAATATACCCTATTTACTCTTCGAGTACCGGGTATAAAAAAAAGAAAAAAGCAGAAGGAATAACAGTCATAAATAAATAATATTTTATAATTTTTTCGGGGCCTGTGCAACCCTGTTTGGAATTATAATTTGTCTGATTTCTGGCAGCGCAGCCCTTCCAGGGGGTTGAAAGTCTCATTAATGCAGCAAAACTCTCTCGGGAGCACACAGAGAGAAATGTGTCGAGATGTGCAGGGGAAATACACTGAAAAGAAAGGTGTGAGCCCAACGCATGACTATGTGTAGCTACGGGCAGATCTGTGGAGTTTTTAAGTAAAAAATGATCAAAAAAGTAAATCATGGGTAAGGCATACATCCTGTCCAGGTACTATTATATTCAACTCCAGCATTCTCCATTTTTGTACTTTCATCTTTGGCGGCTTGAGAAAATACAACAAGTTGAGCAAACAAAAACTAATTTCGATCTTGGGATTCGGTTCGGGACTTATTTGCATTCGGGCCGGGCCGAAAGGAGAAACGCATCGATTTCAATGGGAACCACACAGAAAGTGGTGGGAGAGAGCGATGTTATGAATCGAAATTCCATCCATGAATATAGATGATGAGTGAAATTTGAAATGGGAGTGAAAGCAGTGAGTAAACAGACACACACAAACAGGACTCACAGGAGTCCCAGATTCTCTCTCCGAACTCTGGGGGATTTCATGCTCTCCTCACACTCGGCAATCGTAAATCAATCAGGAAGAGCATCAGCATTCATAGCACTTTGACTTTGATCCCCCTTTTGGCATCAAATTAGCTTTAGTTTCGTGTAACCGGAGGAAGGCGCCGATTGAATAAGTGACTGAGTCCCAAGTGAAGCCCTCCGCTCATGTCCTGTCTGTAGTGCGTCTGGTACTTGTCGTCGACTCAAGTGCCTCGCTCGGTAGCTCGATCCTTAACGAACCAAACCCATGCCATCCCATCCCATCCCATCGCATACGATTCTTGCTTCTGTTTTTCATTCATTTGCCTTTGGCATCTGTGCGCAGTTGTGCGTACATAAATCGCCTTTTCCTATTTCTCCTTTCTTTTCTTTTCCTTTTGGTTTTCGGTTGTTCGTTCTCCTTCTTTTCTTTTTTGATTTTTTTATTGCTCCTGGAGTTGCAGGAACATGAATTTATGAGTGTGCCATCAGGCTAAGGAAACTTGAAGCGGAAGTCCCCTTTCTCAGTGGCAGTCCTCGCTCGAAATAGCTTCGGGATCAGCCAGCCAGCACTTTACTGACTCTCTGTCACTGCACAGGAAATTGCAAGTGAAAATGAAAGTTTTTGTTTGACATTAAGACTTGGATTCGACAGCGATTGTCAATCATTGTTGAAAGGGTCACAAAACGGAACGACAAGGATTGGCAGCCACTGATAGCTGTCCATATACTGATCATAATTTAAGCAAAGAAATTGAAAAACTCGAAGGAAGTATGCACACTCCCAGGCCTAGCATACTTTTGGGCAGGCCAGTCTTCAGCTGGTTCCCGTTGACTGCTTTCCATTCCCTTTCAGGAAAACTGTTCAACGGCATGCGCCAAACGTGTGTCCCTGTCCCAGGTCCCGACCCAGTGCCAGAGCTCGTCCAGTTTGCGTTCCGTGAATGGAACAATGGACACATCGGCAGCCAACTGAAAAGCGAAATTGAAAATTTCCCTACAAATTCGAGCACTCTCGAAAAAAGGTTGGGGTGCGATCATGATCGCGCACGTGCCCCTGTAAATAAAGCAAACGAGGGAGAGAGAACACAAAAAAGGGACAGAGAGGGAGAGCGAAAGCGAGAATGTGTGTGTGTGTTGTGCGCATAGGAATTGTTGTTCGTGTGAGACCGGTACCAGTGTACCTGGTGCCCATGACCATGCGTATCCCGGATCGGGACGCGCTTTTCGGGGTTTGGCACAGCAACAAATAAATTATACACGGCCTCACCCTCACCCTCATCCTACTCCTCCTCCCCACCCTCTACTTCCTACTCCTGCTCACCTACTGCCTGGCCCGCTCCCTCAGCCGACACTCCTGGGCCAATCTGGGACCTATGTGCATACATCTATTTATACAAATGTACATCGCCTGAGGCGCAAATGGTAAAAAAAATATAGAAAAGAAAGGGCTCATGTAGAAGCCGAAGTTTTGGATACACTTTCTGGAAGGATTCCATTAATA